GGTTTAGGGTTTAGGGTTCTGTCCCAAGCCCCACCTCCAAGGACTTCAGGAGCTATCAAGTATTGAACAAAAAATTGCCTTAAAGACGATAACCTCAAAACATCATACCTACGGACCCTAAACTCCGAAACCCCTAACACATCATACCTTGCATAGACCTTATAGACCCTGAAACCGCCTAACTAAAGAATCAACCCCGAACCCCCCACTTTTGACCTCCATCCGCTTCTGCTTCTCTTCCGCAGCATGCTTCTTCTGTGCTTCGTACTCATGCGTGGCCTCCTCGGTCACCACCTTCGTTGGGCGGCGAGGGCTTTGAAAGTTCAAGGGCTTTAGGCAATATAGGGGCATGATTAGAATGGGGTTTTGGGCCAATTCTACCCAGCGACCCCCAAAATAGTACTGGTAATTATTTCGGCAGGGTTTATGTCCTTTTGGCTTCAGGCCAAGCCTTTTTACGGTTCTTTTCCTCCCTGTTACGGTTGGAACGCCACGTCGGCTGAACGCTGGTTACGGGCCTGCCTGCTGCATTTACGAAAAACAGGGTTTGGGCTTAAGGGCTTGTGTTTGGGGTGTAGGGTTTCGGAAGTTTTCGGGCTTGTTAATTTGCTTATGAACGTAGCAGCAATGGTCCATGGCAATACGACGGATGTATGGATTGATCAAGTGTATACCGGCAGTATTCAACTCCTAGACAACTACCAGGCAAACCACGGGCAAGAGTTCTTGCATTGAAGCACAAAACCGAGAACGCACAAAATTGAAACGACAATGATAAACCAGCAATCTTTGTGTCGAACTCCTGGAACATGGAACACTAAGTCTAGAGCCTGAAGCATTCAACTCCGCACCCGAAGCCCTGAGCCCCTTCCCCGCCGACAGGCTGAATCCTGAGCCTCACATTTGAAAAACCTACAAAGGCACCTACCTGCCAAAAGCTCCACGCTAATCCCAGACCCACAGAGGAAACCCTAAACCCTCTAAACCTCGAGCCTTAAAGCCTTTAAGGCTCTAGGTACTCAAAGCCTTGAGCCACAAAGAGCCCTTTTGCAGCCCTGGTAGGCTTTAACCCCCCCGGCTGCCCTCAACCCTGTAGACAAGCCCCAAACCCTCAAACTCTGGAATCCCTAAACCCTAAACCCTAAACCCTAAACCCTAAACCCCCCTAAACCCTAAACCCTAAAACTCTGGAATGCAAGGCAAGGTCCGAAACTCCTCAAAACCCCAAAACCCCATAACAAGCCATCTGCCTTTAGGGGGTACCAGAAGGGCTCAAGAATCAGGTCCCCTTTCAAGGGTACTACAGGGTTCTATAATCGGGTCCCTTGTAAGGGTACTATAGGGTTCTATAATAGGGTCCCTTTTAATGATACTCTTGGGTTCTATAATAGGGTCCCTTTTAAGGGTACTATAGGGTTCTATAATCGGGTCCCTTTCAAGGGTACTACAGGGTTCTATAATAGGGTCTCTTTTAAGGGTACTATAGGGTTCTATAATAGGGTCCCTTTTAATGATACTCTTGGGTTCTATAATAGGGTCCCCTTTAATGATACTCTTGGGTTCTAAAATAGGGTCCCTTTTAAGGGTACTCTTGGGTTCTATCATCGAGTCCCTTTTAAAGGGTACTATAGGGCTCTATCATCGAGTCCCTTTTAAGGGTACTATAGGGCTCTATAATAGGGTCCCTTTTAAGGGTACTATAGGGCTCTATAATAGGGTCCCTTTTAATAGGGAACTCCTGGGTTCTAGGAATCGGGCCCCCCTTGAAACCGTACGAGCCCCAAATCTTCCAACTAGACTGCACAAGCAAGGGTTTAGGGTTTAGGGT